CCATGGAGAAGTTGCAAAGGCATCCGAAAGACGTCAGATTTGATGATAATGCGGATACATTTTTCGAAAATGTACGTAACTTACATAAGAGTTCGCAGGACTGTTTACGTCAAAACCAAAAGCTCACAAATCAGACGAAAATTATAAAAGTTAATTTTTCTAACACATTTCATTAATAATCCTTTTTCAAGAAATGCCTACCGCGGCTTCAGAGAATACGAAGTACACAAACTTTTTCAAAGTTATCGGGCGAGGGGAAGAGCGGTTAAACAAGATACGTGCGGAAGAGAAATGACTTTTACAATAAAGGGAAAATGAAATAAAAAAGACGGATTTTCGTTAAATATATATGCCCTCTCAAGGGCGTTGGGACAAATTTTCGTATACGTTACCTTATATCAGTGATAAACTCATGAAATTGACTAAATCACTCCGGTCGATACATTGTAACGAAACGCCTCCCCCGACGCTAGTTCTAATCGACTGACATCCATTTGTCTTGCTTTTCAGAATCTCGCGTCTGACCATCTTCTTCGCTTCCCGGTGTCTGATAAGTACCCTTCGTCTCTTTTCCGTATGGCGTGTTTCGTTTCTCGCCATTTTTGTATCTTTTTCATCGTGATAGATACTCGTAACATTCTTTATCCTGTGGAAATATTCTCGTAAATCGGTATTCCATTAGATTCCCTTATACGTTTCAGGTACTGTTTCATTTTTCCAGTTTTACTGATATAACGCTGTGTTTAGTTTAATCATCTCCCTGTCTATCAATAAACATTACACTATCATTACATCTCTTCCACTATGTTGTGGCGAAACTGGAAATCGCTTGAATCGGTTAGGATTTACTTGACCCATCTCTCAGACGAGGCTATGGCCTCTTCATCTCCTTTTCAGAAAAGGACGATGATTCCGTATTTTAACCCTGAGCTTAACAGCTCTAGGCCATCGCGAACAGCTAGAACTCTGATTCCTTTATTCTCCAAACTTCCGACCTGAAAATACTCTGTTTTAGAACGTCATATTCAACCTTCCGCCTCTCACC